TAATTTGGAACAGAGCACGCGATAGATTATAGTTTGAAATGGCACACAGGCTCATTTCATACCTTGGGTATGCGGGCAAAGCCGACGGCAGAGGCTAGGTTATTATTATAAATGTTTTGACTTTGACGTTAATTGTAATTGAAATAGAACGTCCATTGACAGTTTTTGCTCGCCCTACGTATATTTATAAAACCTCCATAATAAGAGTCAAATCGCAACAATTCTTTATATATACATATATAAGTGTGGGAGAGCCGGGTCGACGGAAGTGAGTCCACTGGGCTGAGCAGAAAACGGACGTGAAACAACGCTGCATTGTGTTTTTGATACCGGAGGCCCAATAACCCCTCCTCCTCTTCCCCAATCTCCCCAATCCCTGAATGCCCAACAATCCTCAAACTCCTAATCCCCAAAAGGCCGGTAACGCATTTGTAACGCCTATGGTGTTTCAGGTGTCTATGGGCGACGCCGATTGCTTACGATCAGGTGATAACCGTCTTCTCGTTTACCGACTTGTACCATAAAAAAATTTAACCAGGAAATCGAGCAGATAAACAGAAATGAAGTAGACAGTAAAATAAGTCTAACAAATAAACTTCATCTGTAAGAAAGAAGGAAAGAAAAACATTTATTCAGCACCAGGCACGATGCAGCATAAATAAAATATAAAAATACAATAAAGGTGCGACAGTGGAAGTAATAAAAACATTGAGTTGAAAAATTTAAACAGAAGAATTAGAAGAGAGACGCTGACAACATGCCTATGCTAAAAGGGTCACCCACTCAGTGTAAGCCAGGCTGATTTATTAGTGGGCACCCATGCTGTACGTTAGTCAAGTTATCCAACTCGGAAACTACTGGACCGCTTTCTGGAATTGTGCCCGGTATATGGCAATAGGCTCACCTCCTATTACATGGGCCTCATAACATAAATAGTGAAAAGTGGGTGTTACATTGTACAGCGGCAAGTGCCGTAATGTGCACCTCTGCCTACCCCTTCGGGGATAAAAGGCGTGATGTTACTGCTACCACTAGGTACTGAGAATTTTTTAAAAAACCAGTAATACTTTACCTGACCCGGGAATCGAGCGCGAGACCCCTTGCCAGGCAGTCGCACTTGCGACCACTCGGCCAACGAGTAATTTTTATAAAATTATATTTACCTCTATAAATATATATGAGAAATCCATAGGTTTTAAATTGAACCTGGACATGGTCTATTATATAAAAATGAATCGCTAAATGTGTTGCTAAGCGTAAATCTCTAGAACAAGCCCCTGCCCCGCGCCCTCTGCCTGGCCCCTGCGCAAGGATGACACGCATAATCGTGAAGCGTTCCACATTTTTAGAGCAAACATATATAACATCACGCCTTTTACCCCGAAGGGGTAGGCAGAGGTGCATGTTATGGCACTGTACAATGAAACACCCTCTTTTCACTTTCAGAGCGTATTCCTTTCTAAATGACCGTGACTCCTGTGGTCCTGATCGCTTACCATCAGGTGATCAGTCTGCTTTCAATTCCATTAAATAAAACAGCTGAAGCGATTTCGCTAATTCTTTTTGTGCTCCGTTTATTATATTAGGATAAAACTCTAGAGGTAGATAAGACAAAAATATAAGAAAGAGCAGATTTTTTTCCAAAGAAAACCAAAGTTCACAGTTTCCGTTTGTACCACAATAAAATAATTTAGAATACTCACCAAGACACGAGTAACCGTAAAGAATTCATTGTTTATACTAAAGCACATACATAGATAATGAAGGTTCAGTGTATAACGTAGATAATCTTGCTTCTATCTATTACCTCTTCTCCTTAAACATTGTATTGTTTGATTTTTTTCCTAAGCAACCTTAATTCACATAACCTTTATTTACTAGTTCACACATAAGTAAGATTGTAATCATGCAGTTTAATCTGTCATGGGGCAAGCAAAGGCTTGTTTCTAAGGGGGGGAAATCATCAAATGACTTCTCCCGCCCGGGTGAGGCGAGAGGGATCATCACATCCTACTCCTGCACTTCGAAACGGAGTCCCAGCAACCCGTTAAGTCCTCTGCGGCTCCGTGTCGGCATCAACCGTATTGAGCCCCATCTGTGGTAGTCTGATGGTTCTTAGAGGCAACGCGACGCGCCGTACGTTCGGGTCTGGTTCTCGTCGTACGGCGAGTTACCCGTGCTCGCCGTCCGCAGGCCCGTGCTTACGATGGCCGGAGATCATCTCGCGATTCCCGACGCCCAGAGTGTCTCTCGCGACGGCTGGAGGAGTTTCGTTCCCTCACGGGGTAAGCAAAGCCTGGGTGATGATATTGGTCTATGTGTGTTGTAATTTTAAAAAAGAAAATAATGCTGGCTTTATATTAACTACATCACCGTCCCGTCAGATTTTTCTGCTGGACTATAGACCTCGTCTACATAAGGGATCTCTTTTATAGACCGGTGCGATGTTGCGGAAAACCGCAGGGGTTACTATGGGCCACTATGGTGATGGCTTTTTGAGGCGCGCGCGGAACGTGCCGCTCCGTACGAGGTTCTGGTTCTTGCGGCGAGCTACCCATGCTTGCCTCCTGCAGGCTCGTGCTTACGGTGGCCGGTCTTTTTAATTTAGGAGAGTGTGGTGAAAACCAGTATAATAAGTCATCTTTTACGATACCGCTGGAGGAGTAGAGGTACCTACAGATAAATGTATGCTGCTGTCGCCCGTCACCACGAGATAATTCATTTGTTTTACACGTCACCGGCTACAGATCTCTTATCGTACGACTGAATTTCCAGCGCATTAGCTTAAATTATACTATTTTATTGTAGTTTCAAGTAATCTGTTTTAAAACTAATATTTATTCAAGATATACCTACGGGGATAAGATGAGGTGAGATAAGATGTCTGAATTGGGAAGTTTTAGAATAGTTTGTGGTAAGACTAAATAAATAATAATAAATTTATTGAATCAAGAAAGAGTTTACACAATTTTGTTTTACATAATGTCTATCATATAACTTACATAATATTTGTATCATGAAAACAATTTTAGCATATGTTGCTGAAATAGATCTTAAGCCTGTGCTTAAGCTCGCAGCGCTTCAATCCTCGGATTTTTGTAGTCGTAACATTTAGTCAGTAAATAAACCATTAAGTAAGGGATGGTTTCACTAGCTACTTAACTAATGTAATGCGATTTTTTTTTAAATAACGTGTAAAGTCACTTATGGAGTTTCTTGTTCGTTCTTCTCCGTAGGAATCTGCATCTTGGAATGAGCAAATAGCTTTACTTTAAATTTTTTGTTGACGTTCAAAAGTGTTGTCCTGGTCTAATTGAAATACCTAAATGATTTGGATTTTGAGCACTAACTAAACTATTGAGACTGACTGCCTCGTTGGCCGAGTGGTCGCATGTGCGACTGCCGGGCAAGGGGTCTCGGGGTCGATTCCCGGGTCGGGCAAAGTATTACTGGGTTTTTAAAAAATCTCAGTAGTAGCACGGAGTCTGGAAATGTGCCCGGTATATGGCAATAGGCTCACCCCCTATTACATGGAACTTATAACATAAATGGTGAAATATGGGTGTTGCATTGTACAGTGGCATTAAGTGCCGAAATGTGCACCTCTGCCTACCCTTTCGGGGATAAAAAGGCGTGATGTTATGTCATGTTATGTCTAAACTGTTGAATGTTATTTAAAAATACTCATGGTTACCACTGAGTCTTAACACCTCTGACCTCACAATATTCCAAGTGTCCAAATTTTACGTACATCGGTAACTACTTGCTATTAACAATATATTAGGCGCTACGTTTGATCGCCTTCTTCTTCGCCGATTGAGTGGTTGGGTAATGTGATTTTTTAAGACATAAGCTGGTAAACAAGCAGAAGAACACCTGATGGTAAGCAATCGGCGTCGCACATGGACACCCAGAACACTAGAGGCGTTACAAATACCGGCCATTTGGGGATTAGGAATTAGAGGATTGTTGGGGATTCAGAGATTGAAGAGGGGGGTAATTGGACCTCCGGTAACCTCACTCATACGACTAAACACAACGCAAGCGTTGTTTCACGTCGGTTTTCTGTGAGGCCGTGGTATAACCCCGGCCGAGCCGGCCCATTCGTGCCGAAGCAAAATAGCATTAGGTTTCGAATTGTAACAAGAACATGGCAGTATGGCGCATCTCTGTTACATTTTTATACTTTTGAGGATAACAGTAAAAAGAAAAAATGTTTATTGTAAAATAAACTTTATTCATATACTTATAAGAATGCATGATCATCAGATTATATTCATTACAACTATGATATATACTATAATGTATATTATTATTATAATTAAACGAGCAATTATTCTTGTATATGTATGATCAGCGATCTCAGAATCCGGCTCCATTGATTTTCTTGAAACATTGTATTCAGGTGGGTTTTAGTAGCGAAAAATCGATATAGCTAGATAATATTTTTTCCGTGTTTTTTTTTAATCCTAACTAAAATACGAAACTAAATTTCGTTATTACACAATGGTTTAGTGGGGAAAGCGGACGTCTGCTACGCCGGACATTCGAATTCAAATGAGTCCTAAACCTCGGTCCGAATATTGTGTCTTTTAATTCTACTCTTATCCACTTTATTCTATTTTTTTACATTTTATGTTCGCCATCTATACCAATAATTTTGTTGTCTCTTGAGAATATCATTTTTTTCTGGGACAAAAAGTACCCTATTATTTAATCCAGACTTTTAACTTTACGTCTGCAAAAATTCAAAGTAATCGGTTTAGTAGTTACGGCGTGAAAGCGGAACAAACAAATAAACAAACAAACTCACTTTCCGATTTATAATATTAGTAATGATAACGCAGTGTAGGGCGCCCTCCAGCTAGGTGGAGTGACGACATCTGCAAGGCAGTGGTTGGATGAGAAAAGCGGAAGACCGAGCTCAGTGGCGTGCCATAGGAGAGGCCTATGTCCAGCAGTGGACGAATACAGGCTGATGATGATGATGATGAAGGATTTCTTTCTAATTTTTTTCTAAAATAATGTGTACTAAAAACACCGAACAAACCTCGGTCATCCAGGTACTATAATACAATATAAACGTACACATGAACGCACACTGGGCAGGTAGAATTTCAGATTAAAAGCAGGTTTTAAGAATTTCTCAATAAAATATCGTTATAATAATCGACCAATAGTTGCATAGCTCGGAAATTCTAAGGATCAAGCCCTGAATCTGCATAGATACAAAGTTTTTTTTTAATTTATTGACCTTCCCTATACATATCTCGCTTTCTCTTTCTATCTTTCTTACTTTTACTAATAACTCAATAGTCTTCAGGATCTGTGCAATGAGTTTTAATGACCTTGGAGTAATATCTAGAAGACAGGCGTGGCGTTCTCGTGCGATTTGCATCCGTAAAGTCAACTGCATAAAGTCCAAATTTGGCACTGAAAGAAATAAAAAATATATATACAGCAATTATCGGCAGACATATTAAAATTTACATTTGGTTTAATCAAGTGGTGTTGCACCGCGCCCGCTGCTAGATATCAGTAGAGCATTACTCAAAGTAAGCCGTATATTTTAACTCGTCGAGTACCGGTTTTGTAGACACAATTATATCTCTAGAACAATAGGTTGCGGTCACCGGTGACCGCTTGGTGTTTGACAGTTTAATTAAAAAATAAAAAACCTTAGGTTAATGTTATTTGATGCTTATTTGTTAGGAGTACTCACTCATATCCTTTATCGAAGTTATCCATTAGAGACCAGTGGAAATATGCTGTGACGTTGACGCCATCTTGGATTGCGAGTGCCACCTGTCGAAGGCAGAACATTGAAAATGATGACACTCATAATAAGACATCGTTTAATTCGTGTCTAGTTAGTAACTGTTGTTGTTCCAAAATTCTAATTATCTGGGCTCATTGCCCCATTTATTCCATAGGACTCAACCTGATTCATTTAGAAGAAAACTACCGACAGAACCGTAAGCGAACCGAAGCATAACCGAACCGAAGAAGAATTCATTGTTGAACATAGACCTCAACTTATTTAGTATTAAATCGACCAGTTGGAAGCATTCTACATTCAGCGGCTGCCTATATAAATTACTAACTTTTGCTCGCGGGTTTACCCGTGTTTTCGGGGAATAAAAAGTATCCTAAAGGAATAAAAAGTAAAGAATTTTTAAGTGTGGGAGAGCCATGCTTCGGCACGAATGGGCCGGCTCGACCGGAGTGATACCACGGCCTCACAGAAAACTGACGTGAAGCAACGCTTGCGTTGTATTTCGTCGTGTGAGTGAGGTTACCGGAGGCCTAATTACCCTCCCCTTCCCCAATCTCCTCAATCCGTAAATCCCCATCGATCATCAAACTCCTAATCCCCAAAAGGTCGGTAACGCACTTGTAACGCCTCTAGTGTTCCAGGTGTCCATGGGCGACGCCGATTGCTTACCATCAGGTAATCCGTTTGCTCGTATAAAAAAAAATCCTGTGTAGTATTCCAAACCATAATTTGTTTCTTTAGTTCCTTTCATTTCCATCCCTTTAACCGTTTGGACGTGATTGAATCATTTACAATATTATATTCTATATACATATTTGGTGGGCCGACGTTTGACCACTATCTCGCCTGCTGGTAAGCGATGATGTGGTCTACGATGGAGCACGTCCTCCCATAAGCAACCTATTCACTCGGGCCTTGAAGACACCCAGGTTATAGGAAATATAGACTAACATAACATAACTTCACGCGTTTTATCCCGAAGGGGTAGGCAGAGGTGCACGTTACGGCACTTAATGCCATTGTACAATGTAACACCCACTTTTCACTATTTATATTATGAGTCTCATGTAATTGGAGGTGAGCCTATTGCTATATACCGGGCACATTGCCAGACTCCGTGCTACTACTGAGTAATACAGACTCAGGTAAAGAAGAAAGAAAGAAATAAAAACCATTTATTTCAATTCCACTCTTTAGCAGTACTTACGCACAAGGAAGCTTGATGCGAAGTGCGTGTGGGTGTGGGTGTGGGTGGGACAGATCATATATATGTATATATATTATTAAGACTATTTTACCAACTACCTCCGCTAACTTACTTGTTCCAAATATTTTCTAGTATAGTTCACAGTTCTGACATCATTCAGAGACGCATTGCTACTGAAAAATCCGTTTTCAGTGATCATGATCTCTGAAAGATTGTATGTGTTCTTCAAATAGTTCAGCTGCTGACGTAGACCTTCAGGATGCACCTGAAACGTATGCATAGTTTCTGTTGAAATCCTTACTATATCCTTACTTCCTTATCCTTATCCTTACTTCCTTACTTCCTTACTTCCTTACTTCCTTACTATATTATAAATCGGAAAGTGAGTTTGTTTGTTTGTTTGTTTGTTCCGTTTTCACGCCGTAACTACTAAACCGATTGCTTTGAATTTTTGCAGACGTAAAGTTAAAAGTCTGGATTAAATAATAGGGTACTTTTTATCCCAGAAAAATTTGATATTCTCGAGGAAAAACGAAATCATTGGTATATATGGCGCTGTGTGTAAATGTCACTTTTTATCCTTTTGTGATGCGAGCGAAGCCGCGGGTAAAAGCTAGTAAAATAATAAATTTAGCGTCTATTTTATTATTTTAGATTAACTGTGTTGCCCGCTACTTCGTCCGCGTCGAATATGAATTTTAATCTTAGTTTCAATTTTCCAAAATAAAAGTAGCTCATGTTAGTCCATAGTACATCAACTACCTGCCAATAAAAGTCTTGTAAAATTGATCCAGCCATTCCAGAGATTAACCATTACAAACAGACAGACAGACCGAAATGTAAAAAATGTTATTTTAAAATGTAAGAAGCGGTTATTTTAACACTACACGCAGACACTCCAATTTTATTTATCTGTATCTAGACTAGTGTGATTTCTGTGTACAAAGAATCCCCGTCTCAACTTTCATAAGTACCTACATTCTTTCATATTCTTGGATAATATCTAAAACTCTTTAAAATGAGTAAAGTATGACATCGTCTACCCTTATCAAAGCAAAGTCAAATATAAAATGCATGAGTACCGTTAACCATTTGATGTCACCCTTCTCCCACGAGGGATCTGCCTCTAACACTATCCCCAACTCTTCGATGCCGTCGACTAGTGTCTTGCCAATAGCCTCACCAGGCTTCGCTTTCCTGACCAGAAGGCTGGAATAGTGATTTAGGGCATAAAAGTCGAAGGTACCTAAAAAGATTTGAAAATAGATGATCAGGGTGCATTTAATCATAAAACTGTCTCAATGTGGGTAAAGACCCCTCCTCACACAGAAAAGGAATAAGCATTAATTACCAAGCTTCTTAAGGCGGATGGACGATTTCCAACTGACGCTATTGTCAGGAGAGATTCATAATGTCAGAGCCATTCAATCGTTACCTTTGACCAGTTCTTTCTCTTCCTCAGTGAAAGGTGGAAGTCTAGGTTGTACGTATCCCTCGTTTCTACTGTTGTTGGCTAAAATTTCTTCCAATTCCTTCGGCCAGCCTCCTTCTTTGGAGTAGACGGGGTGACCGTATCTTCCTTCCTAAGTAAAAGGGTAGTTTTGTTAGCGAAACCTTTGTCTTAGTTTAAACATTAGCCTAAGACAGTAAAGGTTAAAAAATATAGTACGTACAATGTATTGGCGAGCGAGGTTGGTAACTTCGGTGTCATTTTCTGTTGCTGGTGCTAACCAGAGGAACAAGAAGACGATGGTCACTTTACCTGAAAGAAAATAAAGTTTTTGATTCAACTTATTTTATTTTTCTGACAAAGAAGGCACGATATGACCGTAGCCGTTCCTGAAGGGTATAACCTGGGTGTCTTCAAGGCCCAAGTAAATAGGTTGCTTATGTGTCGACGTGCTCCATCGTAGACCGCATCATCACTTACCACCAGACGAGATAGTTTTCAAACGTTGGCCCATCAAATATATAAAAAAGTGGCCGTAAGTTTTTTTTGGGGTTGCTAACTGACGATAGATTTCATCACGTAATTCTACCTTTCTTCCTTCCCCAATCCTCAAATTCCTAGTCCCAAAAGGCCGGTAACGCACTTCTAACGGCTCTGGTCTGGTGTCCCAGCTATCCATGGGCGACGCCGATTGCTTACCATCAGGTGATCCGTCTGCTCGTTTACTGGTTTATCCCATAAAAATGACGAAAAAGTATTTTAAATTGACTGAGAGAATGGAGAATCAGTCCAAATTAAAACTCACCATGATACAAATGCCTGAAGTCTTTATCATAGATCCTGTAAGCCTTCGCATGTGCCAACAGCACATTCTTACTGCAGATGTACCGACCGAACTTCGGATCGTTAATATATGGGACCGTCCCATTATTATACCCTGAGTCACAGAGGATTTGTGGCTCGTTCACCGTCAGCCATATCTTCACTCGATCCGCGTACAGGGAGAATGCGACTCTCGCATATTCAGCAAACCAGTCGGAGATGAGCGGGTTGGTCCAGCCTCCTGAAAGGAGACCTCAGATAAGTCAGTGGACGCAGGTTTCGAGTTACCTTTCGACGTGGAGGACTAATGAGGAGGCCTTTGTCCAGTGGACGTCTTCTAGCTGTTGATGATGATGAAGACAAGTTAAATTTTTTGGGCGTTGACATAGAGTAGAATTTGGTATATCATAGGGAATAAGCAGCTCGCCTATTGTTAGACTAGCAACAAATTATGACAACGCAAGGTTCATTGCTTTAGGCAAAAATGATCAGTACGTATGTTTCGGTTTCAAACTGCTCAGCATGGAATCTGCATTGGTCCTTGGTGTTCAATATTAGGTAGGCCTAGTTTATACAGCAAATAATGGACACCCATAAAATACTAGAGCCAGAAGAGTAAAAAATGAGTTGCAAACTTAAAAAAATATGTATTTGTTACAGACAGATTAGCAGAATGTATACTGGTCAGTAGAGGTATATGATCCTGTTAAAATATGTAAATTTTTGTCATTGGATTTTCGACTTTAGGTATATCTAAACGATAGAGTAGAAAATCTAATTTGACAGAAAAGAGAAGGTTGACCTGCAGCCCACTGTACCAAGATACTGAAGTCGTTGTGGCAGATCGAAGTGGTTCAGAGTAACAACCGGTTCGATCCCTTTCTCCAGTAGACCATCGATCAGGTTGTTGTAGTAGTTCTTCCCATCCTCGCTGATGTAGTTAGGAAGACCGGTGGGCAGTAGACGAGACCAGGCTATTGAGAATCTGGAAATGAAATAAGTAGATGAATCAGTTATTCGGTTCAAACCAGTAAAAGTAGACAGAGAAAATCATACAATTCTGTAATTACACTTTTAAGATGTGTTTTTTTTTTATATAAAGGATAAGTCGCGTAAACGAGTAGACGGATCACCTGATAGCGGCTGCTGATATGCAATCGGCGTCGCCCATGGACACTCCGGAAAACTAGTGGTGTTACAAGTGCGTTATCGGCCAATTAGGGATTAGGAATTTGAAGATTGTTGGGGATTCAGGGATTCGGGAGATTGGGGAAGGGGGGAGGATAATTGGGCCTCCAGAATAATGTTTGACAAAAACAGTCTTTATCCATGAAATATTGTTTAACATTAGTTACTTCTTCCCCAGTCGTGTACCAGAATTGCTTATATCTCAGTTAAACTTAAAAAAATTGATATTACATCTCATAAAGACGACAGTACCGTTTTTATCCCAATTTCCTTGGTTTGGTTGCATAAACCAGAACAGTTGTATTCAAAAAAATCCGAAGCCAGAACCAAAAAGGATTTAATATCAACTTAATCAACTTTTATATCCTCACCTGTACATGTCCAGCCCCACCTCCTCACACATCTGTACGTCCCTCCGCCACAGGTGGTAGGAGTCACACGCCACGTCACCATTACCATCGATGGTGTCAGGGAACAGATGCAGGTATCTGTCCCAATTGCTTTCTCCTCGATCTGAAATAGCAAGAAGTTCATAAAATACTCGTGCTGATCCGATCATATTCGGTTGAAGATTGAACTCAGTTGGTTGTTGGAGGGACTATCTCTAGGTGTTTTCGTGTATAATTTTTCTGTGGATGTCAGTCGAAAGATTGCCAATAAATATAATCGATTTGCAAGTGTGACTAACTGAGGCCTTAGGACAATTTTGTTTTAGATGGACCCAACAGGGTTGTTGCCAATACGGAGCCGCGGAAGACTTATCGGGTTACCGGGGCTCCGGCTCGAAGTGCAAGAGTAGGAACGGGGTGGTTTTTAGTCAGTAAGAGTCTGACACTCTCTCTCGCCTCACCCGGGCGGGAGATGTCATTGGATGGATTCCCCCCCTCAAAAAAAGAATAATTTTGTTTTACGTTTAAAGTAATCGAAAAAAGACCGCGTTCGGCGCTCTGATTGGCCGTGTCGAATGAACCAAACAATCAAAGCGACGAACGCGGTACTAAGGCCTTTCATCCGGTACAGATAAAGGTTCAACCTGGCATATTCATTATCAGGTTCTTTTGTAATATTCTCAGTAACTTGTAGTGTGCACGGAGTCTAGAATGACTTGGGATTTTTATGCAACTGACATATAACATAACATCACGCCTTTTATCCCCGAAGGGGTAGGCGGAGGTGGACATTACGGCACTTACTGCCACTGTACAATGTAACACCCACTTTTCACTATTTATGTTATGAGTCCCATGTAATAGGGGGTGAGCCTATTGCCATATAACGGGCACAATTTCAGACCCCGTGCTACTATTGAAACTTAAAAAAAACCCTGTAATAGTTTGCCCGACCGATTGCCGGCAGTTGCACTTGCGACTACTCGGCCAACGAGGCAGTCGCACCTGACGTACAGTGGATATTACGTTTACTACAATCTGTATCTTCCGGGCAATAAGAACGTTTAAGTTATGAAATATAATTGTCGGTATGCATATGTGAGCACCATGTTAGACTATAAGATTATTTGTTTATTATTATTATTTTAGTAAGGTTTGTAATTAGTACCTATAAGTAATGCGTCAAGCGTGTCTTTGGATTAGATAGATTCATAGATTTGGATTGTTCTCACATATGCGTACAGTATTGGAATATGTATCAGAGACATTGTAGAACATACTTTTTTTAAAAAGAGTAACTAATGGAGTTTCTTGCACGTTCTTCTCCATTCGAATCTACATTTTGGAATGAGCACCTAGCTTCACCTAGCTTCACTGACGGACTGACTGACAGACTATTATTTATTTTGTATTTGCTGACTTGCTTTGAGTTTGACTTTGAAATGTGTGTTACCACTGGCGTTCCAGCCGCCTTCTATCTGTAGTGCTGAGGTGCCGGCTCCGAACTTGAACCCTGGAGGTAGCTGTGCTCCATACCCGCTACCGACTAGAACACTGTCGAGAAATGAGAATAATTTAATTGATAAAGATGCATTATATTAGGTAGGAAGCCCTGTTTTTAAGGGGGCAAAATCATTGAAAGACTTTATATAATGTTTTTATATATTGCATTCCTTTTATAAAATAAATAAAGGATTTTATTCACTGCCTCGTAGGCCCCGGTTTCGATTCCCGGGTCGTGCAAAGTATTACTGGGTTTTTATAAATTCTCAGTAGTAGCGGTATATGGCAATAGGCTCACCCCTATTACATGGGACTCATACTAAAATAATGAAAAGTGGGTGTCACATTGTACAGTGGCACTAAGTGCCGTAATGTGCACCTCTGCCTACCCCTTCGGGAGAACCTAACGGGTTACCGGGGCTCCGGCTCGACGTGCAGGAGAAGGAACGGGGTGGTTTTTAGTCAGTAAAAGTCTGCCACCCCCTACCGCCTCACACAGGCGGGAGCAGTCATTCGATGATTTTCCCCCCTTAAAAATGAGCAGACGGTGCTCCGTCTGCTCGTTTACTGGCTTATTTCATAAAAAAAGATCTGCCATTAAGTGCATTTCTGCCTACCACTTTAGGGATAAAAGGCGTGATAGTATAGAAATCGTGACTATGTAAGATTGGTACCATTATTGAAGGCCAAACATACTAACCGAATTTGCTACACCTAACAATCGAACCACAGACCTTGAACTTATAAGAGACATTCCTACAATTAAAATTCAGACGTCGAGTAATTTATTTTGTAAATGCCACATGTTTTTCAATGCAAATTCGTAAAATGTGTTAATTATTTCCCGAATGAATGAGTTCTACATATCGATTGTACCATCCACTAGGTACGGTATTGTTGCTTGTGTTAATATTTTAAGTTCGATCTAATAGGATTCAATCAAGAAATAAATAAAAAAGTATACAGCAAAATGTCAGACAAATAAATGATTAATGCTGGATCAAATGTATTTAAATTTCGATCAGATAGTAATAGCTCCAGCCAAAACAGGTAAAGATGATAATAATAAGAATGCAGAAATTCGTACAGCTACATTTATGTCGCGGAGAACCTAACGGGTAACCGGGGCTCCGGCTCGACGTGCAGGAGAAGGAACGAGGTGATTTTTAGTCAGTAAGAGTCTGACACTCCCTCCCGCCTCGCCCAGGCGGGAGCAGTCATTCAATGATTTTCCCCCCTTAAAAAAAACAGCTACATTTATGAGACTCACAAGAATAACTATATAAAAGTGGGTATCGCATTGTATAATTAAATATATCTTTAGTGTGTGAGAGTCATGCTTCGGCACGAATTGGCGACCGAAGTGATACCACGGCCTCACAGAAAATCGACGTAAATAACGCTTGCGTTGTGTTTCGTCATGTGAGTGAGGTTACCGGAACTTTTTTTTAAGGGATAAGCCGGTGAACGAGCAAAAGGATCTAGTGAGGGTAAGGAAGCGGCGTCGCCCATGGACACTCGGAACAGAGGCGTTACAAGTGCGGTACCGGCCTTTTGGGGATTAGGAATTTGAGGTAGTTTCAAATTTCGTGAGTTTGTCACAAAAATACCAAAAAATAAGTAAGTAATATACAAATTAAAAATACATACCCGAACAGTATTAAAACAATATTGAACATGATTTCAGTGTAGGAACACCTCACCGACTGTCAAACGGAATCGGACATATGGCAATGTATGCAAAATACCGAATTCTTACTCATTGTATCGTCAAATATAAAGACGTATTGACAAAGTTTGGTCAGAAGGTTAAAAGCGGTAATAAGAAGATAGTTTTCTTAAACTGTCAAACATCAAGCGGTCACCGGTGACCGCAACCTATTGTTCTATAATTGTGTCTACAAAACCGGTACTCGACGAGTTAAATGTTGCCCCACACTAGGATTTTCTCCTGTGTCGTGAGTGCGATTACAAACATACAAGTTCACATACACATGACACCATGAAACAACAATTTGTGGATCATACAAAGAGTTGCTTCGGCGGGAATCGAACCCGCTACAGTGCTACACGTTGCGCGGCAGCTCGTTGTGGTTCATACGGCAAATGTTGGTTATACGACTTATACGGAATGGTTTCCGAAACTACTGGAGCGTGAAAATACTCTATCTTTTAGGTAGCTTACTTTTAAATAATGGGGAATTAATAGTTTAATCGCACTTATCATAACACTAGCTTTTACCCGCGGCTTCGCTCGCGTCACAAAAGGAAAAAAGTAGCCTATGTGACATACCAATACACACAGCGCCATCTATACCAATACTTTTGTTTTCCCTCGGAAATTTAAAATTTTTCCGGGATAAAAAGTACCCTATTATTTAATCCAGACTTCTAACTTTACTTCTGCAAAAATTCAAAGCAATCGGTTTAATAGTTACGGCGTGAAAGCGTAACAAACAAACAAACAAACTCACTTTCTAATTTATAATATTAGTAAGGATAGTAAGGATAAGGATAGTATAAAACAAAGTCGCTACCCGCCGTATGTCTGTCCCTATGTAACTGTGCTTAGATCTTTAAAAGTAGACAACGGATTTTGATGCGATTTTTTTAATAGATAGAGTGATTCTTAAGGAATGTTTATATGTATAATACATGCATATTGCACCTGTGCGAAGCCGGAGTGGGTCGCTATCATCTATTATTAGCTTAGGCTGCGTAGGCAGCCCTTACAGGCTGTCCCACAGTCGCGCATGCAAATTCTCCCCTTGTTCGAACATTAACGATGGTCAATGCTTTCCTGGCATCCACACCAGAGTGTGATTTGTTCGTAGCGAGATGGAAGGATGTACGTCGTGAATGTGTAAGATTTTGCGAGAAGATGGACGGCTGATGAATTAGTTTTAAGTAATTATAATAATTGTACTTTTTATATAAGATACCTATTTGTCGGAGGATGGTATGGGCGATGTCAAGCGAGAGCCCTCTTCGTCATATATATCGGTAGAGGTATGTTTATGCAGTAATAAAACAATTAAATCTTCGTAAATAAAGTAACGTTTACTTTCGACAGTGCACCTTTACTTGTTCGCATTTCAATTAAGTCGGCATTTCCTACGGACTACTCTGAGAAGAAACGCCGAAACAAACTCAGAGGTCTCAGTCCCTTTCAAAGTTTACAAATGGTCAAAATACATCAAAGTTTAGTCCACTTACATTGTAATAATATTCACAGTTATAATCTCAAACAATATAATGTCAATGACAATTTCACAGAGTCGGCATTTCCTACGGACTATTCTGAGAAGAAACGCCGAAACAAACTCAGAGGTCTCAGTCCCTTTCAAAGTTCACAAATGGTCAAAATACATCAAAGTTTAGTCCACTTACATTGTAATAATATTCACAGTTATAATCTCAAACAATATAATGTCAATAACAATTTCACAGCACTGATTCTGATGATTGCAATCATTATTCGGCCGACAGCATTCCCAGTGCGTCGTTGTTCGTTCGGAGTCCCAGCCAAAAGTGCCTGCTGTTCTGCGATGTTGAAAGTCACTCAATCTCCCCCACTCTTAGGCGGACATGACGTCACAATTAACTCTTGAAGCGCGCCATCTTTATTCATTTTGTTGTTATTCCTTCGTTTTGTAGTAAATCGAAATCTCGTACTAATGACCGTTCCGACATATTACATAAGTGTAAAATAGTAAATAAGTAACATTTTTGATTGTTTAACTGTATAATGTTTAGGCTTGTGCTGTAAAATTATACATGTGCTTATAAATAAATAAATAAATAAATTATAAATGTGAAAGTTAATTTGTTAGGATGATTGTCCCTCAATCAAGTTGAAACTACGGAACGGAATTTGATGAAATTTGGTATACTATACAGGTATGGGCTGATTCAGGTGATAGGATTTTTTTATCCCGATTAAATGCTCCCATGGGATAAAACAGGATTTGTATTCTACTAGTTTCTGCCCGCGACTTTGTACGCGCAATCCCGTTTTCTCCCGTTCCCGAAAGATCTACTTTTGAATAGGGATGATGACAGGGTATGAAAATTAAAAAATCTAATTAGTCCGTCAGTTACGTAACGAAAAAATTTTAGACACGTATTTTTTTATTTTGTCGTATAAGAAAACAATACTTAGATAAAACGAATCAAAGTTTAGGAGTGAGAGGTAGCTACGTTATTTTAGAGTATAAATCGTGCTCAAAAGTGACGTCATGCGATATTTCTAATCAATATAATAATATCAGTAAGAAAATAAAAAATACGTGTCTAATGTTTTTAAATAATTAACCAGGCGGACATTGCAATAAAAATTAGTCATCATAGTTTCATTAGTCATCGTAGCCACAATAGGATATTGTGGGCAGTCGCGGAGAACCTAACGGGTAACTGGGGCTCCGGCTCGACGTGCAGGAGAAGGAACGGGGTGGTTTTTAGTCAGTAAGAGTCTGACACTCCCTCCCGCATCACCCAGGTGGGAGCAGTCATTCGATGGTTTTCCCTCCTTAAAAAAAACCCTATTGTGGGTACCGCAACGTCATCTGCGAAAAGGTCAAGAGTGTTATTTTTATTGATTGTTCGAAGTGGAACTCTTCTCTGTTGCGTTCGAAGTGGAACTTCTGTGTTCATACTTTCTATTGCAACTATTCTTCATCGAATATTTAAATCACGATGGTAATCGCTAAACATTGTAATTAGCTAAATATTTTGTAAGAATGATAACAAAAAGTAACGAGAAATTATTGATACACGTAGCACCATCTATGCGTAAGTGAGGCAAAACTGCTAAATTTGTTGTCTATGTATGAACTCGTCGAATACGTTAGTCTATGTTTGAAACTACTTACCAACGACTTTTATATCAATATTAATGAGGCAGCAGTCAAAATTTCAATTATTTTGTGTGATTTGAATGTCGTGTCGTGGTGGCCCGGAGGTTTAAGACGCCCGCTTCTCATGCATGAGGGTACAGGTTCGAAACCTACCAACGGCAAGTACCAATGTGACTTTTTCCGAGTTAGGTACTTTCTAAGATTATCTAGACACCACTGACAAACGGTGAAGGAAAACATAATGAGGAAACGTGGGCTTATAATTTCTAATTATAAGTTTGTAATTGCCAACCCGCATTGAGCAAGCATGGTGATTAATGCTCAAACCTTCTCCGTGTGAGACGAGGCCTTTGGTCAGCAGTGGCCACTTATAGGCTGTTGATGTGTGATTTGAACAGTGGGTTCATGTAGACATATTATAGTAAACGACTGCTTAACACATAGTCATGGTCAACGTTTTTATCATTGTCATCTTCAACAGTTCATGACAGGCTACAGCTGGACTACATAGGCCTCCTCTACAGTAGAGGAGTTTGCCATAATCTCGACGCGTAACAGGAGAGTTGAAGATCGCAGCTACAAAAAACCAATCACCCGAACATAGTACCTCCTCCTTTTTTTGTAGTCGGTAAAAAGTTTAGGTTTATTAGAGATCGTTGCTACTCGATCTCTCTTAAATTGTTCCCTTAGTCGGCTCTAACGAAATCGTATCGATTTTATAAAATTCTCAGTCATTATTTTTAGTTTTTGAAGGGAGAAAACCATTCAATGAATCCTGCCTTGTGTGGGGCGAGAGGGAGTGCCAGACTCTTACTGACTAAAAACACCCTGCTCTTCTAGCTGGAGCCCCGGCAACCCGTTAAGTCTTCCGCGGCTGTGTATTAGGCGCCATCTTTGGTGGAGTTGATTGCTTTTAGAAGAAAACGGAACGTGGCATGTCGTACGCTCGGGTCCGGTCTTGTTCGCCGTCCGCAGGCCCGTGCATAGGAACACAGAACATATAATTAGGAATCTGGCATAGTGTCTGATCATTATTATCACTGGCTCTGGCTTCACGGCTTCAGATGAGTAATCGGTCTGAGCACTATAACTGTATATAATTATCAGATGATAAATCGTTCTGACACCTCAAGATTAGTATTAAAGTAAACAATTAAATAAAAACATCCCTATTACGTAGGCAGTATAGATCATCTTGTACACGATTATAAATTCAGTTTCCTATCGCTGCCACAAGGACTTCGTGGAAATTCTCTGTGTTTCGTGGTTAGCCACTGGTTGTGTCTGCTTGTAATACATACAACATAACATCATGCTTATTTATCCCTGAAGGGGTTGGCAGATGTGCACATCACGGCGTTTCATGCTACTGTACAATTTCACACCCACTTTTCATTATTTATATTATGAGTCCCATGTAATAGGGGGTGAGTCTAGTGCCATATAGGTACCGGGCACAATTCCAAACCCCGTGAAGATTAAAAAAACCCAGTAATACTTTGCCCGACCCGGAAATCGAACCCGAGACTCCTTGCCCGGCAGTCGCACTTAGGCAGTCTTAAGCTAGTTTGGACTAAACTTAATTAGCATTTTAATTGTCGTATGAATATTAAATATTTATTGATTATTCGATTCCATTGACGGCGTAGGTCTCATTAATAGTCTAGAGTTTCTAATTTGCATGTTGATTGATTTATGGGACTTCTAATGTTTCTAATAATAAACATGGTGGAATTTTCTCAAGGGTTGTAGGTGAGTTTCTCTTTGTAGGAACACAAAGTGTATAACTACTATGCAAAATGTTTAAGTGTGTGCGTATGGTACATGGCTACGCCCACGTACCTAGAATAGAAACAGTCGCAAGTAAAC